ATTAAGAACGACTGTAGAATTTTCTTTTCCACAGTTTTATTTGATGCTTAATTATTGAGCCACTGTTTTATTGTTGATGTTGCTTTTGATCCTAGCACTGCTCGGCTTTGTTTTAAATTGATGTGTCAAGTGTATTTATAATTTATCCTCAGGCTTTGACTTTTTTCCCCTGTGTCTATTGATTTTATATTCTTTGTTCATTGCATGTTTTTTTTTTTTTGCAAATAAACTTGCAAGTCTGGTTTTTAAAGTGCTATGCATTTTCCCATTTTACATCCTCACTACTTACTCAGCACACTGCGAGTCTTAGTGACTTGCATAGTAATCTCTTTAAACGATTATTTATTAATTCACTCATTTATTTGTTCTAGACTGTTAACAGCTCAGCCATTCTTCAGCAAGATCTACACTGATGTTGGAAACTTACTCCAAATCTATGCCATACATTTTTTTTTTTATGAACCATATTCATCGCAACTCTGTTTTTTAAACCTTTTATGCTTTAAGCTGAATTTATATTAACTCAATTTTACAATCAGCCAGTTAAGAATATCTGGTTTCTTAAAAGATTCAAGATTCTTTATTTGTCACATGCATAGTTATATGAGTACAACACGCAGTGAAATGAAATGTTTCCTGAAATGCTCTTCAACTATGCATAAAGAGGACATTATATACAGTAAGTAGTGAATTATATACATTAAGTTCTGGTTTAGGACTCGGATGGCCTGAGGGTAGAAGCTCCTCTTGAGCCTCCCCGTTTTTGCTCGGATGGTGCAGACGGAATCTTCTGCCTGATTGCAGAAGTTGGAACAGTTTGTTGCTGGGATGGGATGGGTCCTTTAATATCTGAACTGCTCTGGACCAACATCTCCTGGTGTAAATGTCTTGTAGGGATGGGACAGCATTGCCGCATTGATCACTCTCTGAAGAACTTTTTGGTCCTTAACACAGCTATTCACATACCAGGATGTGATCGTCTGTGTGAGGATGCTCTCCACAGTACCTGCATAGAAAATCCTGTGGATCACTGGAGAGACCCCGAACTTCCTCAGTTGTCAAAGATGGTACAGGCGCTGCCTAGCCTTTTTGGACTGGACCTGAAAGGTAATGGAGAAATGGTAAATGGTAAATGGCCTGTATTTGTATAGCGCTTTACTAGTCCCTAGGGACCCCAAAGCGCTTTACACAGTCATCCACCCATTCACACACACACTGGTGATGGTAAGCTACATTGTAGCCACAGCCACCCTGGGGCGCACTGACAGAGGCGAGGCTGCCGGACACTGGCGCCACCGGGCCCTCTGACCACCACCAGTAGGCAACGGGTGAAGTGTCTTGCCCAAGGACACAACGACCGAGACTGTCCAAGCCGGGGCTCGAACCAGCAACCTTCCGATTACAAGGCGAACTCCCAACTCTTGAGCCACGATCGAGAAGATGAGAGTTCTGTAAGTTAGGTACATGTAAACAGTTGTGCCTGAAACAAGTGACTACAAGGCTTTAGTAAACGAGAAGCAGCTATACTCCCCGTGTGTGGTTCAGTGATTCCATTTTTGTTTTTTGAAGATGCAACATTATTTTGGCGATGAGGACATTTAGGGGGAAGGAAGTGGGCAATCGGACACACACACAAAAAAAGAACAAAGTGATGGGAGTCAGCTACAGATTTCGCTAGCTTTCAATGAATGCAAGAGTTTTCCACTGAAAATAGAAGGCAGTAATTTGAAGCGGAAAATGGCTATAATTGGCATGGTAGTAGCGTTCGATCCAAAGAATCAGACTTGGGATGAGCATATGGAAATACTCAAGCAGTTTTTCACAGCTAACTGGATCAAGCAGAAAAGCAAAGAGCTATATTAATAAGTGTCATCGGAGCAGCGACCTACAGCTTGATGTGAAACCTTCTCAGCCTGGCCAAGCTGAAAGACAAAACCTTCCAAGAGCTGGTACTTCTGAAGAAAAATCCCTTTGATCCAGAGCCCAGTGAAACTGTGCAAAGGTATAAATTCGACGATCGCTTCCGCAAGCCATATGAAACTGTCATAGAATATGTAGCGGAGCTGCGTCACCTGGCACAAGATTGTAACTGTGGCAACACATGTTGAGAGATAGGATTGTCTGCAGAATTAGGGATGATTGAATTCAGAGTGTCTCTTGGCATAGAGATGCAAATATGCGGCTTTTCAGGGGTCTTGTCTTGACGAAGTTTACCATGCAGACAACATCATCCAACACAGGAGCTAGGTCTGCTGGTAAAGTCTTGGTAACGAGTGCCTCATGCTGCAGAAAACAGTACGTAACAATAACATCTGGGTGTACCGCTTTCACTCTGCTAACGAAACCTTTGGTGCACCCAACCACAGTTGCTGCTCCATCAATGCAGACACTCAGTTTTTCCACTTAATTCCTCCTTGTTCAAGATATTCAGGTGTAACCCAAAAACTTTCCTCTCCTGTTGTTTTTTCTGGTAGTACCTTGCAAAATAGAAAGTCTTCTCTGATAGAGTCTCCATCCACAAAACACACATTGGCCAAGAGTTGGAAATGTCCACTTATGTCCGTAGACTCAACAAGTTGCACCGCAAACTTCTCCAAAACCAAACTTTCAATGTCTGCAGACATGTCATCGATACGTCTGGCAATTGTGTTATCTGAGAGCGGGACTCTGGCTATTTCTTTAACTGCATCAGGGTCAAGCATCTCATTCACAATTGCTTTGCAGGTAGGTAGGATTAAAGTCTCTGCTACTGTGTGTCGTTTTTTGGATTTGGCTATAAGTTCAGCTACTAAGTAGCTAGCTTTGAGAGCTCTTTCAGACACCTTTGTGTTTTTTTCTCATTAAAGTTAGCCATTTCTCAGTGTCTTCACACAGGCGAACAAAATAGTCTGTGTTCTTCTTTTGAAGTGGGGAATGTTTTGTGTGGAGATAACGTTAAAGCTTGCATGGGACCATTACACTGTTTGAGAGCTTTTCCTCACACACCAAACATAACGCAGTCGGTGCAGTCAGATCTCCAGTGAAAGTAAATCAAAACGAAAGATAACTTTTGCTGTATTGCTTCAAGCTCACCGATTTAGCTTTCTTGTGACTACCACTCATACTAGGCTCTTCTGAGTTACAAATTTTGTCCAGGGCCCAGTTTGGAGTTTGCAGGATTTTTTTTCAAATATTTATCCATCTTTGTTGTACGTCTTGCAACTGCCAGGTACCACACCCATCACTATTTCTATTGTCTTAACTTAACAAGGTCATATTGTGCTACTCACTGTCACCCACTGGCATGAAAGAGTAATTACTCTACCAGTCACTGCATTGAAAGCACAGATGCCCAACAACAATTTTATTATTTGCAGTGTTATGTGCGTGTGTTGTTTGTTTGTTTCTGAATGAATGTATGGGGGCTCGGCTGTGACTGGTGGACGGAAGGAACGGCTTGATGTAACTGGCTCCCGTTGTGGATGTAATCCATAAAAGGACGACAGAAGAGCCGCGGTGTGTGGGGTGTGGAAAACTTCCCGTGCACTTCCCTCAGGTCCAGACGGAGCAGCCGCAGCCATAGCTAATTAGTTAAATTCGGGAATGTGTGTGAAGTGTGGAGCAAGTAGGGTGAGCTGCCAATTATTTTGGGAAGCTTTATTTTCTCCTGTGTTGTTAGACCAGGGAGGTCAGACTGTGTCATTTCTTTTGTTGTTTTCTTGAAGAGGTCAAAGGGGAACCGAAGTTTAGGTTGGGTTTTGTTTGTTGTGTTGGCCTGAAATCATACACTCCCACTATCGTTGTACTGAGTGCCATTGCTGTAAATAAATTATTGTTAAAAGCCCGATGATGCTGCTGTGTCTGTTTGGGCATGGGAAGTCACGGGACACCCCGCTCTCGTTACGGTCATTCCGAGCCAGATCGTAACATGATTTGGGGGCTCATCCGTTTTGTCTCGTTTTTTGGCTGGTTTTGTGGTCTGTAGTTTGTTCGGTCAGCCTATCTTTCATGCGTGTGGAGGGGAAGTGAAGGATGAATGTTTGAGGATGGAGTTTTCTTTAGATGATTTTGTTACCTTGCCTTCCTGGGATAAGATAGAGCAGATCGGACGGTCCACTCTGTGTTGATCTGCCTGCAGCAAGACTGCCCCCGCTGCAGTTGCGCTGGCGTCAACCTCCAACTTAAAAGGAGATACAAAGTTAGGTGCTGCTAAAACTGGGGCACTGCACAATAAAGTCTTCACTGACTTAAAAGCAGTTTGGCACACCGTAGTCCATATGAAGGGTTTGGTCGGGCTGACCAGGTCAGTCAGGGGAGCGACTACGGAGGTAAAATTTTTACAGAAACCTCGGTAGTAGCCACACATTCCTAAGAAGCGGCGTAACGCCCTCCTTGTTTGTGGAATCTGAAACAAAATAATACCCTCTACCTTCGCGGTCACGGGGCACACTCGCCCTTGACCCACCTGCTTTCCAAGGTAGGTGATGGTTGCTTTTCGAACTCACATTTGGTCATATTTACGGTGAGCAATGTTTCCTCAAAACATTTAAAAACAGTTAAGAGGGTTTGGAGATGATCACTCCAGGAAGCAGAATAGATGACCACATCATCTAAGTAGGCATCACAGTTAGGTACTCCGACCAAAACCTTAGGCATCAGGCGCTGAAATCTGGCACATTACGCAAGCCAAAGGACATCACTGTATACTGAAGGAAGTGATCAGGGTAATGAATGTTGAGATCTCAGACGCTCTAGCAGTTAAAAGAACCTGCCAGTCTCCCTTTCATCAATCCAATTTGGTCACATAAGTAGCGGATCCAACCTGATCAACACAGTCATCCATCCAAGGTAATGGGAAAGAGTCGGCTTTAGTGGCCGCATTTACCTTTCGATAATCTGTACAGAATCGAGGAGTATTGTCAGACTTTGGCACTAACACACATGGAGAGCTCCATGCGCTAGCACTTGGAACGGCTAAGCCGTGCTCTCGGAGAGAATTGACTTCTCTCTGCATTATTTCCCTTTGCGTCATCACTCCCAGATAATCCATTATCCGATGGTTTGTAAGCGGGGAGGATGGCAACAGCGCACACCGGAGGCGCTGTTGTATTTTGTTCAAGTGGATAGAACAGTTTCAATATATTCACATTACAAACTCTGGTTTTTCGCTGCCGAGCTAGAGTGCGAATCACATAGTTGTTATTGTCGAGTTTACGTTCAACACTGTAAGGACCAGCAAACTGCGTTAGTAAACTGGACACCACCACAGGCAATGACATGAACACTTTGGCCCCTGGTTGAAAACTTCTATCCACAGATTTTTTGTGAAATCGAGATTTCATTTTAGTTTGCACTTGCTTCAGGTTTTCCCCGGCTATTTGCCACGCTAGCCGATGTCTATCTTGAAGCTGACTCACGTAGTTAAGAACACTACACTGCTCGTCCGGGGTCTCCGCCAGTTTTCCCTCAGAAGTCGGAGAGGGCCTCGGACCACATGTCCGAAAACAGCGGGACTGCTGTTTAGCCTCTCTAATGGCAAACAACAATAGGGGCAACCCCCATCCCACTCTTTACCAGACTCTAAACAGACTCTTACTTATGTAACATAACTTTGAGAGTTTGGTGGAACCTTTCCAAAGCACCTTGACTCTCGGGGTAATATGGGATAGATGTAACATGCTTGGCATGTAGTTCTTTAACAACCTGTGCAAAGACTTTAGACAGGTTCACCCATTACTGGAATAGGAGATAATGGCACAGGCAGAATGGGCTTATTGGGTTTGCCCACCAACTTGCAGGTGGCACAAGACCAACAGTAATCAGCTACATGTTAAATCAGGCCAAAAGAAGTTGTGCAGCACTCGGTAATAAGTTTTATTTATTCCGAGATGCCCAGCCATGCCGGCGTCATGTGCTAAGCTTAGCACCTGATCACGATGCTGGGATGGTACCACCACCTGTGTAACACTCAATGTTTCATGCTGATCTGAGGACCACCGCCTCATTAACACGCCATCCTGCAGGAAAAAATGAGGAAGGATGCTTTCCCCAGCAGTGACAGCGGCTGCAAAACAGGAACTCAAAGACTTGTCATTTTTCTGAGCGCTTACCAAAGCTTCTTTATTCACATCTCCGCCCAATTCCGGCATTAGATTTATCAAACTGCGTTCCTGTTTCATACGGTCTTTCTCCCCTACAAAGGGCTTTTGCTCCATAGCCACAAACGTATCTGCGATACTAACGACATCAGCAAATGTGTGCACCCGCGTAACAGTGCAAACGGGAAACACTGTCGCTTTCAGATCAATAACATCTGAGGTGGTAGCAACAGGGGTATCCATCACTTCAGGCGGTGGAAAAACTTTCCCTCCGGCCTAATCATTGCCCAAAATAAACGACACACCTTTAAACGGCAACTGTTGTCTTACGGCGACATACCCGGTGGAGTGGTGCACAAAGAACACTCATTTCAATTCCCCACCACACATCTGTGTGGTAGGCGGTTTTATCCGACAGTGGCAACACATCATCTAACATAAAAGACTGATGTGCCCCGGTGTCTCGGAGAATAGTGATAGGAACCCTGTCCTTCTCTTCTCCTGTCACCGAAACGAAGCCTTGGGAAAGGAATGTTTTAAAACGTGACTCTACCTCCATCTCTGGGTTACACCCCTGTGTTCGATCAGGACATATAGGTGGGGAAACTACTTTAATGAGCCCCACGGGTCCCTTAGACCCTCTGCGCTGCTCTTTCTTCCACAGCGCAGGACAACGGGCAATCAGGTGACCAGACTCATGGCAATAAAAACATTCCCGCCTTCAGTTTCCTCCTGTCTCGCCTTTCGGGCCTGTTTAGGAGGTTTTATTCTCTTTTCCTGCCTTCCCCTCACTTCTCGTGCTACCCCAGCTGGGAAAATGGTTTTATGTGTGAGGGGAAATTCGTCCGCTAAATCTGCTGCTTTCGCCAGGGACGTCACCTTCTGTTCATTTAAATAAACAAATAACTGATCAGGGAGACGCTTTTTAAATTATTCTCCAAAAAGCACTTCCTTTAATCCCTCAATATCCTTCACTTTGCTTGCTTGCATCCAGCGTTCAAAGAAGTGACGTTTCTCACGGGCAAATTCCACAAAAATTTGATCAGCGGTCTTTTCACTTTTACAAAATTTCTGACGGTAAGCCTCAGGGACTAGTTCATACGTGTGCAGAATGGATTTTTTCACAATATCATATTGGAGGCTGTCGTTAACGGAAAGGCTAGTACATACTTCTGGAGCCTTGCCGATTAACTTACACTGTAGCAGCGCCCAAAACTCCTTAGGCCAATTCAATGTGGCTGCTATACGCTCAAAAGCGCTGAAATAAGAATCAACCTCAGCCTCTCGAAACGGAGGGACTAGTGTAACATGCTTGGTGATGTCAAAGCCTGTTGAAGTAACTGTGTCTGTTTGGGCAAAGTAATTATTAAATTGCATTTTTTATTTAATTGAAATGAAATAATTTCCCATGGCACACCTAACGATCTCTCACGGCACACCTATGTGCAGCGGCACAGTGGTTGGGAAACACTGGTTTATTGGTCTGAGTATGGAAGACTATTGATGTTTGTTTATGGTTAAGTGCGGGCAAGTGCTGGTTGTAAAACATTATTGTCTACTGGACTTAAGTTCTAATGGAGATTGGCCATTTGATTGAACACTTTTTTTGAAAGCAGTATCCTTTAAGCTTGTGTGTAGAGTGGTTAAAACAGATAATATAATTTAAGCATACACAAGTGAATATTGTACTACAAAGCTTTTACACTGCTATTGATGTGTTTGTAGTTGTGATAGAAATGAATGTTTTATTTTTATTTAATGAAAGAAATGTTTAAATTAGGGCAGGAGATTTTAATAAGGGTTTGACTGCTCACAATATTCACAGATGTGTGATAACAAACATGGTTTTGTATCTTTTGGTTTGTATTTAAAGGTTTTCCACCTGTTTTTTATGACTGTATTAATTGATCATTATTATTATTATTAGTAGTAGTAGTAGTAGTATCATTATAAACTTCGCGGTGAGGTACAGTGTCTACTGTAATTTTACAATAACACAGGTCTGCAAAAAATAAATAAATACATTTTTGCT